GACTTGATGTCATTTCTTAGGAAACAGGTGGAGTGGAAAGTTTACCAGAAGCATGACCATAATGTCCATCTGAACAGGGGCAAGGTCTGTTGCATCTTTGGATAGTTAGATGTTTCTCACATGAGGAAAACAAGCCACATTTAATAATTTTCAAAGGGTCATTCAATGCTTACTAGAGTCTCTGAGAAACTCAATGTTCCCATTCCTGACTAGCTAGGCTGCCTCAGCTTTACTGCCACACAAAACTGAAAATGTTCCAGAAGATGATGAAATGGCCTAATGGACTGTGATAGGGCAGGCATAAGGAAGCCCAGATCCTAGCAACTAGAGTAGGTGTCCACCTCTGGAGAAAGGATCCATCTACCCACTGGCAGAGGAGAGGAAGCCACATTTGCATGGAGGAAAACACTGGGCAGAGATGAAACTAAGCTCCCTGGGAACAAAGCTTCAAGTGCTGGCTTCCCACTGTTCATTGTGATCAGGGGAGACAGGGAGGAGAGACAGCAGACTGGAGGAAGAAGCAGCTGTCCAAGGGAAGGACTGCTGGCCATGTACACAGGCCTGGGACTGGGTGGTTAAGACTGTGGAAGAGAGTGAAGAAGAGGAGCAGAGAAAAGGGGGAAGGGCCAGCTCTGGTGGGGACCCAGCCCAGTCTGACTCACATATATTTCCACTAATTCAGTCCTGAGTGTCCTCCTGAGGATCCCAGCATTCCAGGCTATGACACATGGGGTCCTAAGGAGGGCAGTCTCAAGTGGGAAGGAGGGCAGTCCACTTCTATAGATCAGACCAAGGTCAAATTCATGTTAAGTAAGATCTTCAGGAGCTCCTACTCCCCTAGGATGTGGCCCAGAGGATAAGAGAGACCTCACTACAGACACACTGCAAAGCTCTCTGTCCAGTGCTGCCCTGGTTGCTTCTGCTGTCCTCAAGGAGTATTCCAAGAAGCAGCTTCCAGTCTCAGCATAGGATCTGGGCCCAGCCTTCTGCCCTAGCCCCAGGTCTGCTCTGAGAGTCCAGCCAGGGTCTAACTAGGTCCCTACAAGAAAACTCACAGCCAAGAACAGAGTTGCTACCAGTTGTCTCCTGCAGAGCCACTCTAAGAGAATTGGGCCAGCAAAGGTTCTAGGGAAAGAGAAGTACAGGGAGGTGAAAAAGCACGGGAAAACCATGCAGCAAGAGGGCCAAGTCCTGGTTTCCCAAGCCACAACAATGGCTGGACCAGGAATGTCTGCCCCTCCTGACCCACCTGCTCCTTTCTCATTCCTGTTATGTCCCTTCAAGCTGCCTGGGTGCATACTGTCAGGAGCTGAAGGAGCAGAACTATGTCAGATACATCATCCTTGACACCAGCCTGTGGGGTCACTGTGGCCTAGGTCTTTCATACTACCCAAGGTCACTGCCTCTGTCAGGGTGGCCCTCTTTATACTACTCTTCCCATTACCTTCCTCTTCTGTGTGGGCCTGGGGTGTGTACTGACAGCACCTGCACAATTTCTGGGATTCCTTACAACTCTCCTCCCACCTTTGTAAAATGCCCCATATTAAGCCCTCTTGAGAGTGTCCTCAAACAAATTTAATTTCTGGTTAAACTGTCATTATTTGCTGATGATATGATACTTCACATAGAAGATCAAAAAAATTTACCAAAGGACTTCTAGGCTTAATTGACAGATTCAGTAGAGTAGCTGGATATAAGGTCAACACTCAAAAAACAATAGCCTTCTTATACACAAAT